AATTTAGGGAAACCGGCGGCAAAGGATAAAATTAGAATCGCTGGGCTGAGAAACGAGGCCCTTCTGAATCACTGAATACACTGCTGGGCAGAGTCTGTCGACTCTCGATTCCCAGGATGAGGCGTACACGCTTCTTTTCATGCAATCTTGCATCTCTCTAAAATTGGGGATCCCCACATTGGTTAGGTATGAAACGGTCTTGGCGCTAGAACAACTAGCAAGTTAAATAAATGACCTAATATTTCTTTAAGGAATACTAAGCAATATATTTGGCTGTGTACGAGCCATAGAGCCTGTGATGTTGCGATAAGCTCAAAACTTACCCCTTCGTCTGTATTTGTGCTGCAAACAATAACACCCCATCCATTCTTTAGTGCACGTTGAATATAAGGAATCTGTGAGCCAGTTTCTAAACTTTCGTTCAGTATCAGTCTGAAAGCAAACATTTCAATACTCGTGAAAAAACTAGAGGGAGACTCAACGCACCTTCTCGACCACTGTCCAGGCCGTACTGCTCCACTACCATGAATTATCACAAGAACAGTTGGTTTTTCTTCGAACCCTATGAGGCATAAACGAATCCATTGTACTCAGCAAAATCACCATGACCGGACCCAACCATGACCTAAATTCCTAATGATAGCCACGGCTTGCAACGTTATGGAGGTATAAACGTACATATACTTGATATGTCGCAATCCGGTGGGGCGGTACCAAGAGGCAGGGGATGAGCCCAACCGTGGCTGCGTTTTCCACCAATAGCGGCCTGTTCAGGTGGAAAACAACCATTGGTGGGAACGCGCGGGTGAGCTCATTCTGCGCCTCCTGACAGTGCTCCGTGGGATTTCGACGATATCATCCGTTTAGAGTGAAAAGGGACGTCAGAACTACGAGTGTCGAAACCGATCACCCTTAATACAAAGTGACCGAAACCTTTGGTCCTCACCGGGATATCCAACTTCATGAGACCGCAACGGTTCTCGAGTATGTCATACAGCTCCCTTGTCATTGCGTTACCAATCTGTTCGTAATCGGATTGATTTGTGAAGACGAATCGGCTACCATCCTGCAATATAAAGCTCTCACTGTTTATTTTCCGAATAGCTATTGAACGTGAAACTTTTCGTTATGTACGTGCGCTCAGGATTAGTATCATGTGTTAAGCTGAAAAATGCTTCGACACAGAACTAAATAGTGAGTCAAAATCTGGAGTTTTCAAATTTCTTTGGCGTGCATTATTGAAGGAGCAGCACGTCAACGGCGAGGCACTTCCGTGCAATAGTTCGTCGGAATACGGTACTACTAAATGTCCACACGGTTTTTTTTCAAACTACGGGATGTTCCTGGGTTCCTTCCAATGCCGCTACCTCGATTACCAGGCACAGCATTGGTTGGGGATCCCCATGGGGGGTCGTATTTGGCCGCCAGGAGAGGGGGGGGGGTCGTAATGAGTGCGTAGCCAGTATCGAGCAGCGCAAAGGTGTCAATGTGCTGAGTCCGGTACAGCGAAGCTTACTTTGTAGAGAACTCGATATTTGAAAAAAAGGACAAAACTTTCAGCCATAAAAATGCGAAATAACTGGAATTTAAATGAGTCGACATCATCTCGTAAGTCCGTTGATGACTAAACAGTAAACGCATACTCTGATTTGCTGCAGATGATGGGCGTGTCCGCGATTGCGCT